CACTTGAGGTTAGATGTAAAAATGACTCCTAAATCACGTTCTTTAGTAGAGCTTCATAGAGATTGGTTGATTCCTTGGTTATTTTGAAGAAAGTAATTGTAATGGGGGTTGTTTCGACCGTAATGAATGACGCAGCATTTTGAAGTGTTTAGCTTAAGTAACCAAGTGTTTGACCACTCGTATACCAAGCGTAGACGATCCTGCAGATCAACAAAATTAGATTGCGATAAGGTTTTAGAAAAAAGTTTAGTATCATCGGCAAATATCTCAGATGTTTCAGTGAGTTTTGCGAGATCATTTGTGTAGAGAATGAAGAGGAGCGGGCCGAGAAAAGAACCTTGAGGAACACCACTGAGAACATCAACCCATGCAGAGCTGGTATTGTTAATTGTAACGCGTTGCTTTCTGCCCACTAAAAAAGATTTAATCCATTGTAGGAGTTTGCCGTTTATTCCGAAAGATCTTAATTTTAACAAAAGTCTGTTGTGAGGTACAGAGTCAAACGCTTTGGCAAAGTCAAGATAGATTACATCAATAAATTGGTGAGATGCTATGGAGGACGAAATGATATCAAAAGTTTCTATTAGGTTAGTTACGCATGATTTATGATAAAGGAAGCCATGTTGATTTGCAGAGAGCATTTTATTATCGTTAATGTGCTTTAAAATTTTTTTCTTTACAAGTTTTTCAAAGATTTTACAGGCAACAGATGTTAGTGAAATAGGTCTATAGTTTTCAGCAAGTAATTTATCTCCCTTTTTTTTATAGATCGGACTAATATTTGCTAATTTCCATTGAGTGGGTACTACTCCAGAATTAAAGGATTTATGAAAGATTTTTGTTAATGGAATTGCAAAGCTTTTGGCACATATCTTGAGTATTAAGGGATGCAAGCCGTCAGATCCGAAGGATTTATAAGGCTTTAGATCGGCAAGTTCCTGAATAATATCTGAGATAGAGAAATCCAAGTTTTCATTATAAATGCATTCAGAAAGAATACCACTTTTATTTAGCAAAGGAAAATTTTCAGAGCTTTCAAGTGTAAACATAGATTTAAATTGAGAGTTCAGAAGATCAACTATATCAGGAAGAGCTTCAATAATTCTGCCTGAAGTATCTTTGAGAGAGCGAATTCTATCTTTAATTTTTAGTTGTTTGTTGATATATTTGTAAACGATTTTTGGGTTGTTTTGGGATTTTGATATTATTTCTTTTTCATGTGCTTTTTTTGCTTTAAATATTTCAGTTTTTACTGAACGATTAAGGCGATTGTATTTTATTTTAAGCTCACTATTCTCCCATTTGGTAGAGCAGTTTATATGCCAAGCGGATTTTTTTTCTCGGATCAGGTTTTTAATATGTGGGGTAACCCAAGGATCATACTTTTTTTTTGTTTTATTAATCTTGGGAATAAAATATGTGCAAGCAGTGCGATAGTTAGAAATTAGTATATTGAACATTTGATCTGCAGTTTTATGCAGGAATAAAAACTCCCAGTCGATTGATGCAATAAAGTTAGATATTGAATCGTAATCACCTTTTTTGTAATTAAACGATTGAGATTCACTTTCGGTAAACAGTTCTGAAACTAAGAATCTCCAAGTGATACTAAAATGACCCTTAGTGGTGTTACCTAGAATAGTACTAGGAGACAAGTTTAAAATAGAATTACTGTTGTAGGTAAATAACAAGTCCAACATATTATTTGAGGAACCATAATCAGTCTGGAAAGTAGGAAATGTGATATGTTGAGTAAAAAGGCTGTTTTGGAAAATATTCCAGAAATCATACTCGGTAGGATTGTTTGGGTTAAAAGATTCAATACCATCGTTAGACCACTTTATATTCGGGAAGTTAAAGTCACCGACAATCAAACAGTCATCATAGGGCTTTTTAATTAAACTATGAGCTAATTTGAAGGATTCAGCGACATATTTTATTAAACTGGCATCATTTGGTCTGTATATACAACCGATAAGTATATGTTTGTTGTTAAATTTTAAAAAGATTTATATCATTTATAAAAATTTTAAAAAGATTTATATCATTTTAAAAAGATATATATTATATAAGATTGTTAAATTTTAAAAAGATTTAATTTTAAATTCATTTAAATACAAGTATTGCGTGGTATTATACCACGTCAAAAGCAATGTAAAAAGGTTTTCTAATTTAAAAAAACGGCAATTCCTTTTTTAACCAAACCGAATAGAATTACACTCTAAAAAAACTAACGCCAATATAACGGCTGATTTTAAAAAAGTTAACACTATCCATAAAATTAGCGTTATATTAGCGTTATATATTTTTTTGTGCGTCATAATTTGCGTATGCTTGATCAATCGCCTATAATGAATAGCCTATGAATATTAATAGTGCGCATAGTTACGCGTATTGTTTTATAGTTACGGTACGGTTCCGTATCTGTAAAATACACTTTTTAAGTAGTTTCTAGACTTTTCTTTACCGCGTGCTTACTTACAGATTTCCCTTCAACCTTTCATGGTACGAGTTCAAAATATCTAAGTTGACATTAAGTAGATAATGTTTAGTAGCTTAAAATTATAAGTAATCTAAATTTTTTTTTAAATTTAAAAGTAATTAATTTATTGTAATCTTTTTTAAATTGTAATTTTAAATTTAAAGCTTCGTGTTATAGATTACTTTAATTCTTAATTTGTGTCTAGCGTTAAAATATATTTATGGGTAGTTTCATGCTTTCACTTAGTTTTGGTTATTGGGATAAAAGCCATGACAATATTTTGTTATAAATTTATCTTAATTTAATTTTTATTGAAAATTTTGTTATAAATAAAATTTGTCTTTAATATTGTTAATACTTTAGCTCTTTGAAAAAAAATATGTTTCTGGCTCTTCAATAAATATAAAATTATTTGTCTTGCATGAATGAATTTTGGTTTAGGGTTTAATTGTGTTAGTTTATGTTTGTCTATCTGTAATTTATTTAGGTTATTAGAAAATTCATGTTTACAGAGTTGTTATAAATCATAATCGAGTTGTTAAACCAAGGAAATTGTGGAGGTTTATTTATCATATATACTATATATATTATATAATTATATTGGAGGGAGTAAGTTTAGAAGTCTTTTTAAATTTTTAAAAAGAAATAAAAATACTTTTCAATATATATCTGTTTTCTTTGAGGTAGAATTAAAGTTTCAGTTTTTTAAAACTTTAAATTAACTTTACAATGTTAAAATGGTTTAAACGGATTTTTGTAAATGAATTTAATCCTCAAAGATTAAATTTTTTTGATTATTGAAGAAATTAAACTAGATTTAAGAATAAGTCGACTTAAATGTTTGTTTGTTTTTCTATTTAGATAATGACAATATTGAAGCAAGTAAGTTAAAAAGCATTTTTAAATTTTTAAAAAGAAATTTTTTCTTTGTTTTCTTTGAGGTAGATTTAAAGTTTCAGTTTTTTAAAATCATATATATTTTAAAATCCTATATATAACTCATATATCTTTGTTTTTCTATTTAGACGTTGGTAATAATATGAAACAGGTAAGTTATAAAGCATTTTAAAATTTTTAAAAAGAAATAAAAATACTTTTTATTATATATCTGTTTTCTTCGAGGTAGATTTAAAATTTCAGGTTTTTTAAATCATATATATTATAAGATTTACAAATGAGTCGACTTGAATGTTTGTTTGTTTTTCTATTTAGACGTTGGTGATAATATCGAAACAAGTAAGTTATAAAGCATTTTTAAATTTTTAAAAAGAAATAAAAATAGGTACGCCGATATCCGCGTTTTACGGAACCGATAAATGTGCTAAAATTCTGTGCCACGTTTTTTGAACTTCGCATTTAGAGAGGTAGGTTGTGCTGTGTTTTGTCGCCTTATTTTTTATAGTTTCATATTAACATAGATATTTTTTAGAAACTAGAATGATTATACTTTAAGAATTTGTGTTCTTTGATTACTATTACGTACTTTATAAGTTGATTTCTTGACATGCAAAACTTTGTTAACTTTGCACATCCAGCAAATATCGAAGATATGGACAGCAATTGAGATTGTTTCGCAGCCATTTAAGTTTACCTATTTTTTTTTTGTCTGCCAAATTTCGTTGAAAAAAAATGGGGCCCAAGCAGTCTATTTTGGGGCCCACTTTTGGTACCTATTTTCCTTAATCTGAAATTTTTTGCGGGCGATCGGGGGTGCAAAAAAATCGAATTCTTTAACTTTAAAAAAAAATAAAACTTTTTTGTAAATTTTTTATTTTTACTAAATTTTACTTTTTTTAGATAAAATGAGTGAGGAGATAAATTGTAAGATTACCAAAATTTTTATTTTCAGTTTCCAATTAATTTATTAGTTATCTTTTATGCAAATAGTATCAATATTTACTTAGACATAATAATACTTAGTAATGCTAAGACTTTCTAATCTTTGTCTAATCTAATAACAGTATTTCTGAGTAATTGTATTGTTTATTTAGTAAGAAGTACATAATGGTAGAAATTTATGTTTCTGTTTATGATTCTATGTATCAAAGTCAGAATCTATATCAATAAATATTGATATAATAATACTATTAGTACTATTACTAATAGTATTATTATTATTATTATTATTATTATTATTATTATTATTATTATTATTATTACTGTTATATATATATATATATATATATATATATATATATATATATATATATATATATATATAATATATATATATATATATATATAACCTTTTGTTTAAATAAAACTGATATAAATTGTTTGAAATAGTTCCTTTGTTATGATGGTTTAGATGCACAAGCTATTAAAAGCTTATATGAAAAATTAAGTTAGTAATTCTATTTTGTTATTTAGTTATTATTTATTTAATTATTTAGTTAGTAATTCTCATTTATTGAATCTATTTTATTCTTAATTCTATTTATATTAAAACTCTTTTGTTATTTTATTTATTATGTTTTTATATAATCTTATAATAATATAAAATTCTAACAACGTAAATCACAATGAAAATAAAATATAACTGGAATGAACTAACAAAAATAAAAATAAAAACCATTATTATAGTTAAAACTTTTTTTTTAAGTTATTTGTTCGCAATTGGTTATTTTTGTTTTTTTAGACACTATGGAGAATACAATAAGTATGCAATAAGTATATATTTTTATTGTATCGTCTAATACTTTGTTAAAAATAAATTATTGTTTTTCAATCTCAGATTTATTTACTATTAGTTACTTATTTATTTTTTAGACGATTTAGTTAACGCTTGTAAGTAAATTTTGTTTTTGGATTTTAAAAATTTAATATGCAATTTATGTATAAGACCAATTTTGAATATATAGTTTGTGTATATGAAGCAAAAACTTGAAAATTGTATTATTACTAATTTTTTTTATAAATAGGTTTATAATAATTGTTATTCTTTAGTGAAACCTTCATCAAGTTCCTCAAATAAGTTTTTCATGGTAAAATGCTAGTTCAGTGGTCTATGCAGGCAGCATGTAGAAAACGAATAAAAACTCAACTACAACATTCTGAAATTAGAGCTGAGATTTCTAAAAGACAGATTATAAAACGCCAAAAAATCGATGAAAAAGAAAAAAGAAAGTTAGAGCAACAATTAACATTATTAACTATTAGTGAAATTCTGAATTTGTTCAAAAACTTATCTACTAAGCAAATTGATGATTTAAATGATGTTATGTGTGAAAGAATTGTTGGGAGAAATTTTTGCCATGAATGGTATGATTCCGATATGTATATTCTTGTATATTGGCAGAGTAGAAAAACTTAAGAAAGCACAGAAAGGCATTATATACACTATTTCTTATTGGACTAGAGAAGAAAATGATACTGAAGCAGTTGATTATTGTATTAAAAAATTCCAGCTAGTTGCTGACATTGTATGTCAGCAACTAGCTGGAACTGATGTGAGTTGATGTTTTCGTAATGTAAATATGTTGCATTTATTTTTTTATTATTGGAAATGCATTTGATAATCTTGCTACTTTATTTTACTATGGTTGACTCTCTATTTCTCTCTCTCTCTCTCTCTCTCTCTCTCTCTCTCTCTCTCTTATATATATATATATATATATATATATATATATATATATATATATATATATATATATATATATATATATATATATATTGATATATATATATATATATTGATATATATATATATATTGATATATATATATATATATTGATATATATATATATATATATATATATATATATATATATATATATATATATTGATATATATATATATATATATATATATATATCAATAATATGCAAATGTACAGCGAGAAGTGGTACTTGCACAAAAACTTTATAGCGAGTAGTGGAACTTGCAAAAAAAAAAATATAGCAAGTAGTGGAACTTGCAAAAAAAAATATAGCGAGTAGTGGAACTTGAATAAAAAAAAAAAAAATAGCAAGTAGTGGTACTTGCAATAAAAAAATATAGCGAGTAGTGGAACTTGCAATAAAAAAATAAAGCAAGTAGTGGAACTTGCAAAAAAAAAATATAGCAAGTAGTGGAACTTGCAAAAAAAAAATATATCGAGTAGTGGAACTTTGCATAAAATATATATAGCGAGTAGTGGAACTTGCAAATTTTTTTGATAGAGGGCTCTGGCTTACGTTCACGTCATGTCTATTGTTTACAATGATTAATATATAGTTTCATTAATGGAATTTAATATCTTAATCATTAACTAAAAGCCAAGACGCAAACTAATTAGAATAATATTATAAAACATTTTTTGTTTTTGAAATTCTTATTTTGAGTTTTGGTAAAAGATGTTTTTAAATTAAAGTTTATTATTTTAATTGAATTTAAATATTTTTATGAATCTCAATAAAAATATATATATTTTTTTTTAGGTTGTCAAAAAAAAAAAGTGGGGGACAACACGCCCCCTCCCCCATTTACACCCCTTGAAACAAGGGGTGCGCTGCTAGTGATTTTTTAAAGTAGTAAAATATAATTTTTGATTTGAATACTAGATTTCTTTTTAATTATAAAGATAAATATTTATATAAAGAGTCATTTTTGATAATAGGGTGTTTGAAACCATCACCCTTCAATCCACCCAAAGGCAATGATGAATATTCTATATTTGATTATGGTCTGATAGCTAATAACAAAAACATCTTGCATATAAAAAAATTTACATTTTCATTAAAAAAAAACACTTTTTTATAAATATATTTTTTTATATCTTTTATATATCTTTATTGCCGGTAAGGATGGTGGTTTTGTTCCCCCTCTTACTCCCCGGATGCGCCCGTAATCTAGAAATCTTTGTAAATTTGTAGATGACTCTTGTATCTATCTTTTGATACCAAGATATAAACATTTGGATAAGAATTGGTTAAGTTATAATAGTTTTAGTTAATAAAAAGTTTATTTTGACCACAGTTTCTTCAACAAATCCTAATATCAAAAAATCGGTACTTAAAACGTCATAACTTTTTGTAGGGTGGTTCGATTTTGAAAATTTTTTCACTTTTAGAATATTGACATTAAGCTCTTTTTAATGATATATAACAACCTATAATTTGATGAATTTAAAAATTTCATGTAACATACCTAATAAAAATACTTTTCAATATATATCTGTTTTCTTCGAGGTAGATTTAAAATTTCAGGTTTTTAAAATCATATATATTATAGTATTAAATTCTTTTTTACTTTAAAAATATCTATATTATAGTTACACTGAGTCGTAGAAAAAAAATTAAAGTTTATTAATAAGGTAGTAGATTATTAGAGTAGATTAAATTGTTTGATCTATTAATCAACTTAATAACGTACTATTAATATGAAGATTTATTTTGGTTGTTTGTTTGTTAAAATTTAGTTAGAGTTTATTTAAAATTTAAATTCTTTAGTTAATCAAGAGAGATCTAATAAAGGTATTAATTACATTAGTTGAATGTGGCATTTAATATGTATTTTATCGATATAAGGAATAAAATAATAAGGAATAGAAAAATTTTAAAAATTTGCTCTGGAATTTGTCAAAAGAGTGTTGTGTTATGCTTCATTTTAAGGTATCTAAATATATATTCATTAAAAATTTTTAATTTTGTTTTTAAATGGTTTACTCTTTTTCACTACTTTAGATAAATATATACTGACTGACATAACTTCATTTTTATTAACAATGTCGTGCATTGTAGTCTGCATTCTTTGTTACATTAAAAATAATTGATGCTAATAAATGTTCTTTTATAGTTGTTAAAAGTTTGCATATATGTTTGCATTTATATTGTGATCAAAGTTAAAATTTTTTTGATAAATACGTGTATGTGGTGATACTACTCAGGTATCACCGCAGCTTATCTCTATCAGGTACATTGATTTTTAATTCACATATGATGTTTTTCTTTGTATTTACTTATTCATTACATTTTTAACTTCAGATTTATGGTGTATTTATTTGCTATAGAAGAACAAATCATTTTGAATTTTTTAAAAATATCTACACCAATCAACATTTAAAATTCAATGTAGCATATACCAGCTTCTAGGCTTTTTTGATGCTTTTCTTATTCAAGTGGTTTCATAAGCAAGGTCTACAAGCAAATTTGAGATAAAAAGTTTTTCAGCTTTCAAGGAGTATCAATGTTGTTCTCTGTATACTTTAATTTGTTTAAATAGAGTAGTTTTAGTAAATAAATGTTTGTTTGTTCTTGGTTTTTTACTTATTTGTTATCAGATTCTTAAGAATTAATCAACTTAGCAAGCAAGATTTATTTTATTTTTTAGTGCAATTGGAAAGAGCTAAAGTGCTTTTTAGTTACTTCAAATCATTTGTTTTTATTTTTTAAATAGAAGGGTTAATAATAAAAATATTTAGACAGTCGAACTGTTACTGATTTGAGTAAGTTTAATTTTTTGTTTAATTTTATATTAGATATATATTTTATGTATTTAACATGAAAAACTGACTGTAATTTTTGACAGGTAAGTTTATATACTTAAATGTGCCTATATATCGGAATATTTTATATTTCTCTGAATCTATATGAATATTATCTCAGAAAAAATTAAGAATAGAAAAAATTTGAATATATATACATACATATATATTACTTTAGACTGACATTGCTTCATTTTTTATACAAGATTCTGCATTTATTATTTTTGTGCATTAAGATTGTGCCTGAAGGCTTTCTTAATTTAGCAAAGAATTTAGAACACAATGCAAATAACTTTGCACTGTGTTCTAAATTCTTTGCTAAATTAAAATAATGTAAATAAATTTTGTTTTATATTTTTCAGTTGTAAAAATATAAAACGTTCATTTATTCAGTTGTAACAGTAGCATAACCACTGGTAATATATATTTAATGATAACAGATTTATAATATTAGGCTCGAAGAAGTTATTAGTGTAAATGGTTATAGGTGACTTGAAATTGTTGTCATATGAAAGAAATAGATCTAGGCATGGTAAAATTAATTGTCGTTGAAATATAAGAAATTTTGCTTGATGAACCAAAAACTTACTTGGCAGAATTCAGTGTCAAGCGCTGTTGATGTCTATTATTTGACTTTACATTAGACACTTTAAAATAAAGCAAAGTATGAATTTTACTATTTATAGTAACAAATAATAAAAATTTCAGTTTTGAATGATTTTTTTTTTTTTTTTTTTTTTTTTTTTTTTTTTTACTTTTGTAATCTTAATATAATTGTTCATTTTTTTTTTAGTTGTCTTTGTCATCACTTGATTATTTTGCTTACTGTTGAAACATGGTTTTAATTTTGTAAATTTAATATGATGTGAAATTTACATTATTAATCATTTGTCAACAGTTAGAAGCTGGAAATAAATTAAGAAATGCTGGAAATTAACTTTTAGTTAAGGTAAAAATAATTTTGTTTATTGGTAGCATAATAAAACCAGTTACTGTTATTTATTGCATGACTTTTTTACTTTTTCTAACATGGTGTTTTTAAAACACTTCCTCTCTCTATTAGATGAGACTTAAATAAGAATTAGTATTGAGAATTGTAGAGAGATAATTGATTGGGGGGTCGTATGGGTTGAATGGGCGGTCGTAACTAAAAACCTTTAAAAATATGGAGAATATTGTAGTTTTGCGCATTAATATCGAGTTACTTAAGTTTTATTTATGTGTTTAACTAATTAGTTAGCTTAGTCTGTGTTTGCAACACTTTTGAGGAAAGAAAGAAAACATTTTTATATTAGTAGATCATTGTTTTACATTTTAATATTTTATTTTATTCACCAGGCCACCATTAAAGCAAAAAGAGGGAAGGAACCTCTTTATTAGAGCCAAAATATTTAGAAAAATTAAATTTCGAGTTACAAAAGGAATTTTTAGTAAATGGTGGCAAATTACCGTTTACTAAAAATTTTATGAAATAAAGAGGCCAAATAAATAATATACAAATGGTCTGTGTTGAACAGACTTAACAAGACCCGGGTCGGGTCAGCTTGGTTTACAAATTTTTATGTCTACTTATCTCTTATAATTTTTATTTTAGTTTGTTCTATGGTGCATTTATGTATTAAAAAATTTGTTATACCTATGTTTGATCGTAAATTAAATTTTCTTTTGTTTGAAAGGTATTTGTACTCAGTTGCGTAGTATAATAAACTTTGTTATTTTTTATAAATTTATTTAAACGTGTGCATTTAATATTTTTAAGTTAACAATTTTCTTATCTAAAGAACAATTAATCAAGGGGATAACAAAAAATTGATAACTCCTGTATAATATAAGTTAACTTCATTTTAATCTTAATGGTTCGTGTTATAAAAATTATTTTAAGGATTTAGTTGACACTTTCGTCAATTTAAAGT